TGGGCGCTTGCCCACGATGAGTTTCCGTGCTGAACCTGACAGTTCGGAGATGAGTTTGGGCCCACTCAGATAGCGCTTGTGGTATGGAATTGACTGATCCCACAATAGCGACATCTCTTCATACTCCTGGAAGCTTCTTGCATCACCATTCCACTGGGGGATGCCATCTTTGGACTTTGTCACCTTTTCCATTGCTCTCCACTCTTTTCAGGGGCGGCTATGCGGTCCCTGACACCTGGATCCTCTTCTCACAAGAGCCTCTCAAAGAGGCTCCGCTACCATGCGAGTGGTAGCAATGGTAGCCTAGACGTGCCCTAGATGGAGATCTGGATGAAGTGCCGAATCGAAATGGCGGTGGCAGCGCGACCGACAGGAATCTAAAAGCTTTCTCACCCTCGAACCCCAACTCACGTGTCACGCACTTGTTGTACGTGTATGACATGCATCACTTGCATAATATATATATATATATGGATTTGCTGAGGAGTGCACTAAGCTGCCAAACTTATCGAAGACATATGATATATTGATATATACATGGACCTTCCTGTCGGGGTGTCCACTGGAGATCTCTGAGTAGTGTGTGGGCTTCCAGCCAGGTGACCCCTTGGAGGGTGCTGGTATGTGTTATTTTTTAAATGTCTATTTTTCTTTCCGCCTGGAACCTTGACTGGACTGGACCAGACCAACGCTCGAGGTTTCCAAGGCCATGGGAACCCAACTGCTCCAACCGCTTCGCTGCTTCCGCCGGTTCCCGCCGGTGCTCGCCTGGTGCACCAGGCTTGGGCGATCGGGAGCCCAATCCTGGCTTCCGTGAGGGTGAGACCGTTGGGGAGGAGGGTGAGGCCGGCTGAGGCTTGGGTCGATGAGGTCTCATATCAGATGTCAACCAGACAAGTGCTTTTTGTTTTTTTGCTTTTTGTGTCCTTTTTCCTTTTCTGGAAGACCTGTGAATTGATCAATCTGGAGTAAACCAGAAATCCAGGTGCTTGGAACTTGGTACCGTCCTCCGGTCAGGATGGCTACTCCATTTCGGAGCCCTCGGAGGCGGGAGACATGGCCCGGGGCCCGAGCGGGTCCGGTCGAAGAAGAGTGAGTGAGTTCGGAGTTCGGAGAGTGGTGCCCTTTGGTGGGAGAAAAGAGGAAGAGAAGCAGATAAAAGTTCATCGAAGAACCACCAACACGCACGAAGTTCAGGCGAAACAAGGCATGTTTGGGGGACTGGGATCCCTAATTTTTCTCACCCAATTTCGTGGTGAAACGGATCACTCCGGGTGAACCTCCTCGGGTTTTCTTCTCTTGTTCCCCTTATTAAGGGCGGGGCGGCCGCGGGCGCCCCCCCAAACCGAGCGAGCTCGGCGGGCGGCCGGTGACTGGACTGGACTGAGGCCTCGGACCAAGAATACAAGGCAAAGATGGACGAGTTGAAGGCGCGGCGTTTTCCGCGGACCATCCGTGGACCGTCTTCCGGGGAGATCCGGCCCGGTCCACCGTGGTCGTCCCGTTGGTTTTTGGGGGGTCTGTTGGTGTTCTCCGTGTGGGTCGGAGCAAGGCCTTAGGCCTTTGGGGGAGGCGGAGGGGTCCTTGGGGACCAAGGTTATGACACATTGGGACCGTTTTTGTTGTGTTGATGGTGCCTCTGTGGTGTTTTGTGGACGCAGGTTGTCGGCAGGCAGGTTGAGGAGTGCCCGTGGTTTCTCCAGAAAGATGTGAGACTGGCAAAGGTGTGTATGCCAGCACCACGGATTTCGGATGTCCATCAGCCCCTTAGGGGTCAAGGGGTGTCCATTCACCACCCCTTGGATGGTCCAGGTATGATCAGGTATGTGTATCTAGTGACCGCATGTGAGTGTCCATTCTAATCATCAAAGCAGGCCTTGCAGAACGCGCGCAGCTCTCCGCTTCCGGGACGTCTATCTTTTTAATTTCACGTCATGTCTTGAGGAATGCGGAATGCTTGGTTAGAGGGAGATGCGGAGATGATGGTTCACCCTGTTGCCTGTGGAAGTCTCGTTTTTTCGTTGTTGCCCTCCGTCTGTGGGAGCCGGGCTGACACCCGGCCGCGCTCCGAGTTCGGCGCTCCATCCGGCCCTTTTTGAGGTGGCACCGATTGAGCCTGCGGCGTGCAGGGCTCAGTGGGCATTACAACCTGTGGCTAAAGAGAAGGGGGTTTTTTTCCAGACCCGATGTCCCTCTGAAGCCATCATGGCTTGCGGTGCAAACGTTGATCTTCTCATCAAGAATACAAGGCGGTGAGGGTAGAAGGGCTGACCCTACACTTGGCCTGCGCAACTTCGAAAGGATTTGCTCAACATGCCTATATTTGGACGGTATACAGTATACTGTAGTGGCCCTATAGTTGAACTGCTTCTCTTCAGAAGCGTAAATTCTTGATCATTTGCCCCAGACATCAGCGAAGGTAGCACTTCAATCCAGTCGTTTGGGTGATTCGTACCACGGGCAAGACGACTGGGCGCACGGGGGCAAGTTCTTCGCTACGTGGAACGTTGGGATCCACTGGCTTCGTCCCAGGAACGACGCTGCGCGCGGCTCGGAAGCGCGGTGCTGTGCCTTCAGTCGAAGCGTCCGCCCGGCTCGTGGCTCCGCGAAGGAGCAGATGCTGGTGGAGAGAAATCAGTATCTTCCTCTTCACAACACGGATGGTTTGCATAGAATTGCATAGAGAGTTTGACCAATCCATGCGGGCAGAATTGCATTTGACACATCCCTGCCAGTCAGACCTGGGGAAGTCAATGTTTCGGTTTCGAGCGCCAAACTGGCCCCGTGGCCAACACCAGTTTCAGGAAGGACATCCGAGCAGTCATCCAGTGAGGACACGGCAGGGCTTCCTTGCATCCACCGTTGAACTCCTTTGGTTCCGCAGTGCCCCTTTGCTTGAATTCTGCGGAAAAGGTATATAATCACACCATCATCTATAAACCATATCTTGTTTCTATCCATTTTTTCAGCTGCAGATGTCATCGACATGTCATCACCCCCCCCAAAATAACACCACACCAAACACACCGTTTGCCTTACAAACCATTCGATGCAAACCATTCAACACAAACCGACCCACCGGGTTTGATCGGTGGACCCGTCCTTCGACCGTCCGGTCCGGTCCGCCAGGTGGTTTGAGACGGAGAGATATGCCATTAGACGCCACGGCTCTTAGAAGTCAATGAGTCGCCTGATTTAGATTGGTGAGATCGGAGGGGTGTGAATTTGCAGGTTACAGACATATGCAATCTGCAATCATATGCATATGAGATCATATGAGAAGCTCTGTGAAAGCTTCAAAGTCGGAGTGAAATCACATGGAAGGATGATCCATGATGATCCACGACTGGCCAAAAACAGGAACATGATCTCCAGGAAATTCGCACCTCCAGGATACAACCTTTTTCCGGATTCATTCGTTTTGGGGCAAAGCTCCATTTCCCTTCGGCCCTTCTGTTTGACCCAGATCCCCCGCCGTGCTCAGATCACGGAGACCGTCAAAGGGAGATAGATGGCCATCATCCTTGTTTGCTGGGCGTATTTTCAGGTGTTACGCCATGTTATATTATGAAGTCCTACTGATCACATAAACACAGCCATCATCAGCCTTCCCAGTTGGTATATGGATGTATATGGTATAGGTTGCAAATGTCCTACGAAGCACGACGATGTGTAAGGATTGATTGAACCTTTGTTGGAAGAACCTGGAGTATATTGTTTCTTGAGCCAATTTTCTGATTGTCCGAGTCGTGCTGAGAGCTTTCCACATTCCTTTTCATCAGCCTGATCTAAAAGAATGGGGCCGTGATCCTGAGCATCTTCATTGGGGAACCGGTGTTGAACTTGGCCAAGTTGCAAACAGCACTCAGATGCGTTTGCAAGAGCCCCCTCACTGCATGAAATGCAGAGGGCTCATACTCCTGGGCGAACAAAGACTCGCACCATGTCGCGGGCTGAAGCCTTGTTTCATTTGTGATTATATATATTGAATGACTTAAAGTGTTTTCTGGCATAGCAGGATGCTTGGTATCTACTGTATAGAATCTACAACTTTTCTCCTAGCTCGCCAGTTTCCCAGGGCGTCCACTTGTGTTAGCATTGTTAGCCATTCTTTAGACGCATGATTGTGCCACTGGTGGAGTTTGCGATTCTGTGTGATTTTGCCATTCCTTGCGGAGTGTTTGTTTCCAGCACCACTGGCCGTGCGCCGGGCGCCCTGGCTTCATGGGTTTGGTCCTCTCTCGCCCACGGGTTTGGTCCTTAAGGGACTTGATCACCAGCTCTGAGACTCCGGTAGCTTGAGCTTCACGATACGTCAGCTCGAAAAGGCCGGAGGGTGGGGTGAGGAGGATGGGCCCACACGAGCTCCGAGGGTTTGGTTTTTTTAAGGGTCGCCGGGTGAGGAGATGGGCCGCCATGAGTGAAACGGCCATCATTTGGAGTGCTGCTTTGAGGTGATGCGTGATGGGTTGTGCTACGCCCATAAGAACCAGTGGTTCACGTGCGAGTTCGCCAGCCGCCATGCTTTTCGACATCGAGTGCTACGCCGGACTTGAGCCAGCGGATTGCGGAGCTCGCACCCGCGTGGACATGGAGTGAAAGCTGGGGTCTGATCCTATGCTGGTCTGATCCAAAGCACACACACACACACACTTTTGTTCAACGAAGTATGCAACTAATTGTAATTGACCACCCTGCCAGTGGGCGCTGCAAAAGCAATAGCAACTACAGCTGTTTTCCAACAACATAAAGACCTGACGTTTCCACATGTCCAAAAGCACTTGAAACCCATTGAGCCCTGGCGGTTTCTTCAGCACCGCGTGGACCCGCGTGGACCCGGAGAAGAACCACAGGTTCCCGCTTGCGGTGCAACGGGGGTGGTCGACGCCCGTTGCACGGTTGGGTGTCTTGAGTCTGAACGTCGTAGAACGGATGGTCTGGATGGACCGAGGGTCCAACACCACCAGACTGGACTCTTTTGCTCGGACTCCTGAGTGCAGGAGCTGGGAGAAGTTTTCGCCCTTCACGGATGATCGGATGTGCAGGCAGGCCGGAGCGCGCGCACTGCGCTGCGCGCGCCCGCGACCCGCACCACAGCCTCCGGATGCCGCAGAGCAATCAAGAGACGTCCATGAAGATGTGATCGTTTGGGGCAGGGGGTCAGGGAACCAGAAGAAAGATATTCATGAACCTGCCAGAGGAACCGTGGTGGGCCATGAGGCGCGTTGAAAGACATCCGGAACCCAAAGGAATCCAAGTCTGTGGGCACTGCTGGACGTGGTCAGGCAGCTTCTGAACATTGCGCATGCCTTGAAGCGAGCTCGAGAACCAGATGAGGCGAGGGCGAGGGAAAGAAGGAATTTGGCACTTCGGATGCATTCCGAAACTTCATTTTTTTTTCCACTGGAAGTGGAAGATGACCTTGGCCAGCCAAGAGCTGTCTCCAGTTCTGGAGACTGCGAGAGCTTTCGAGCTGGGCCTTGCCAGCAGCGTCCCGACCCTTTGTGACCCGAACTCCGCGGATCGTGCGGGGGAACTCCGCGGCCGATCCAGGCGGTGGATTGGATGTTCCACTTGGACCATGACGAGCTCTTCCTACCGCCACCGCACGGGCTGCAGGCGATGAGAAATGAAGCGATGGACGTTTGGTATATGTTTGGTTGCGAGGTTGGGTGGGGGGGTGTCTGGACATGGAGGAGAGCGGGTTTTCTTGGTTTTATGATGAATCTCATTTTCTAGCATCTTCTGGTGTTTGAAGGCAGACTATGTTTTCCTTGTTATATCTTGTTATTGTTTCCCCAATTATTGTGGACATTTCATGCCTGACTTGCTGACTCAAGCAGCATTGCGAACGTGGGAAAGGTTGGTCCATCCAAGTGAAGATCTGACGCATTTTTTTGCGCCTGAGCGGACCCTCCCCAGAACCAGGTGATGACCTAACAAACACTGATTGGCACCAGGGAGTGCCAGGGAGTAGGTTCAAAGCCCAAAAAGACAGGATCGTAGAATCGTAGGCTGCTTGAAATCAAGGCTTTCTCGCGACGGAGCAGCTGAAGCAATCAGCCTTTTCTGGCCAAATGCCCAAGCAGCTGGGGCTGCGAGGCTCATTTCCAGCACTTGGAAGCTGGGAACTGCCGCTGGGGGACCCAGTTCTGGGATGCCCAGCGCCATCAGCGCGCGCGTCGTGCTGATGGCGCGGTGGGTTTTCAGGTGGAAGAGGGGAAGCTGTGCTTTCGACGTGGCAAGCTGTGCTTCTCCTCGGTCTGATGTGACGCCCTGCTCTCTCCTACAAGTATAGGCAGACCGACTCCCAAAGACGCTGGAAGAAGGAAAATAGACCAAACCCATGCTCAAGTACACACCCCGAAGAAGACCTGAGAGGGCCTAGTCAAGTAGCATTTGTTGGAACCACTCCCAAGGACTAAGGGCTTCCATTGACCACCCCCAGGACTTGGCCGGGTTTCTTTCCATCGACTCCGCTGGACGGCCACCGCGGTACGGCCGAGGCTTGTGTCTTTACCAGAACTTTGAGGCAGCACCACAAAGCCACACCTTGACACCTTTCCTGGACGTGAGCTACTTCAAGGTCTGGCAGCGGTTCAAACAGCCCGGGGAGGTTTTGAAGGTCCGAGTGACACGGCAAACCGGCCAAACCGGTCTGAAACAGGTGGCCTAACGGTGCGAACGGTTCGGGGCGACAACATGGCCGTGAACAAGCGGAGGTTGAGGCTGAGGATGACGGAGGAAGCGAAAAAACAAATACTGTTGGAAGGCATCCCTTATGATTTAATCGGCTGTTCTGTTCTTTTTCCCCAGATAGCGAAGCTATAGGGGTTCTTGAAGTGCTATCTGGGGTCTATGCCGGTATAATCTTCCTTCTAAGTCTTTTGGGCCAAAAGGTCTTGCGTTGAGAGAGCCATTGGCCTCACCGAAACTGCGTGGTCGTTCCCGCGATCTATCTGCGCCGCTACAAGTCATCGTGTCGGGGACAGGTCCCCAGTGGTCGAGTGAGCAAGACACCGCGCGGAGCCGAAGGTTTCGTGTTTTGAGATCCTGACGACTTGTTTGAGCTCCAGGATGCGCTGGAGAAGTGCAGGGATGTGCTAGAGACTTGCGCACTGGAAAACAAAACATACTGCATGTATGTATGTACTAGTAGGATGGTCTGATGGAATTGTGCTCAGCCGGTTCTTGCTGTTGGTAGTGAACATGAGTTAGACCTGGTGCCGATTACACACACCGGCACCGGACAGGAATTCCTTGCGGCAAAGCGATGTTTCACTGTTGAATTTGATCCACTTGGCAACTTGGCGAACGAACGCCGCAGCACAGTCTCACCGAGCTGGCAGGTAGATTGCCACGGGAGCTGGGCTGCGTCCGTTAAAACCGCAGGTTGCCATGGCATGCCGCGGCCGCTCCAGTCCTGCGCTGCAGTCCTTTGCCAAATCGCTGCAGTCAAGCGAAGAGGCCGAAGCCAGTCCAATGCTATTCCCCATGTACACAGTGCCGTTGAGGGAGCTATTGTTGATGACAGAGATCGAACCCCATGAAGAGCTAAAGGCCAAGGGCATCCTTGTAGCTTTCCATCAGAGCATGGGGAATGCTGCACTTGTTTCGCATCAGTGGGTTGGCCTCTACCATCCCGATCCGGAGTTCAAGCAGCAGCAGATGCGTGTCTTACAAGCTGCTCTGAAGTATGCAACGTCTGACCTGCAGCATATCCCCTTGGACATCATCACGGAGATAGTGCTACCAGGAACCAAAGACATGCGAACATCAGAACTCGTGTCCAGACCTCTCTTCATATGGTATGACTACTTCTCATGCCCACAACTGGAAAGTTGTTCTCTGCAAAGCGAGAAGCCCAGTGAACTCTCCAAAGCTGTTGAAAGCATCCCTGCCTACGTCGCCGAATGTGCGTTCTTCTTTGTCCTTTGCCCCGTGATTGAGAATGCCAACATCTCGAAGGTGTTTTCGCCCTCCACTTGGGCTCAGAGAGGTGGTGCCGCTTAGAGAGGGCCTGCTGTGAACTCGGTCCGAACCATTCCTGGGTGGTGATCAAGGGTCCTATGACTTTGGAGCCTCTTGGATGACAAACCCGTCGAGTTGAACACCGGGGGAGAAAGTGTAAGACATACAGATGCAAGGTCAAATGGAAGGCAGATGGCGGCAGTCGATCATCCTAGCTCTCTTGGTGTATCTTAGTGTTCCACCAGAGAGGGGCGGTTTGTGAAGGACCGGTGAGCATTTGGATGAGAAGTGTTTGTCCCCGGTGCTGTACATTTGCTTTTTCATGATGATGTCGACTATTAGCCGTAATTCGCCATTTGACTGTTTGCTTGATCAGCAATTGCAAGGATGCTTGTTTTCAGGCCATTTGAGGTCGAGAACCTCCGGTTCATGGCGCCCCTCACCGGTTCCCACGCGATACCGCCAGACGGTCTGAGGTTGATTTCGTGCCCGTCGGCCTCCATGGGGAGCGGAGCCCGCGGGTGAAGGGGACTTCTCCTTGGCTGCGGACCGAGAAAAGGTCGCTCTGATGCTATTCTGCCCGGTCGCTACTACGGCGCAATGTCGCTGCTGTCGCTGGTCAGGAGTATGTGACGGATCCGTGTTGTGTTCAACCAGCAGAGTGTTTACTTGAGAGGATTGGGAGTCAAGGACTTTTGCAAGCCAATACCCTCCAGTGGAGATGAAGAGTTTGATACCGTGGAAGAGTTCATGCATCAGAATGGCTTCACCTCCATCTTCCAAAGGGACTCAGCAGGATGGTTGCCCTTACACTATGCTTGCCTCAGTGGGTCTGCGCAAGTGCTTCAAGGCTTGGCTTTGAGAGCGAATCCCAATCTCAAGACCACGAAAGACCAACCATTGGTGGGGCTACCACAGTTCACGTCGGCCCTGGCCATTTGTGTCTACTTCCGGCAGTATGAGGCCACACAGCTGCTGATTTCTGCGAAGGCATCACTGACTGGAGGCAGAGTGAGTCTTTGTAACTGGACATGATGCGGTTGTTTTTTGTTGGGCGGTATGGGGGCAATTGAGAGTTTTTGCCCAAAGACATCTCTTCAGAAGTCTTAGTGCATATTTTAGTCCCTTTTGTAATCTTTTGTATCTTGCTATGTTGGGAATGGAGTCTAAAATCGTGAATCGATTCCTGCATGTTTCCTTCTTTTCTGGCAAGAAAACCTGCTCAGGTACCCCTTTGATCGCCGCCGCGCTGGCTGACAGTGCTGAAGGCATCCGCACCTTGTGCGAGGCCCGTTGCAGCCTTCACCATCGGAACCTGCTGGGCGCCAATGCCTTTGACACTGCGTGTGCGCATGGCACGATTCAGGCAGTTTCTGGGCCAGTCGACTAAGATTGTGGCTAGAATCCACTGGCTGTTTTCCTGGGAGCTTGTTTTTTTGTTTTTATGATGACATGACACATACGACTATTTGCAATATAATATGCAGGATACATACGTACTGGATTTCATTGTTACATATAATATATATACATATATATATATATATATCTAAACACAGTCTGTATTGCCGGCCACTTTGGCAGCTACAAACCATTTTCACATCATTTTTTTCCAACAGCCTTGCTTTTGAAGTAAGGTTGAGGAGTTCCTCCAGCAAGCTGGAGGAGACGGCATTGATATGACGTGCGCCCTCCATTGTGCAATGATCCATGGAGGCTCTGCAGAGCTTGTGCAGCGCTTGGTGGATTTTCGTGCAGATGTGAATGATCAGAGCTTCACCTGGTGGGGCCGGGACAGGTCTGGGGCTGCTCTCCGTCCAAAAAGCGATCCAACGGAAGTTTGGGAAGCAGACCTTGTGCACCAAGATGATTTACCACGGTGGGCATGGTGGAACCCCGCTGATGCTGGCCATGCTCACCTCGCAGTACGAAGGTGCTGCTGCGCTGGTGGCTTTGGGCGCGCGGGTGGAGCCACAGAGCGCCCGGGGGTGGAGGGCGGCGGACTTTGCTGAAGGAGCGGATGCAAACGCCAACATTCGCAAACTAGATGATCCATGAACTGCTGTCATGGAAAAGAGCAAAAAAGGATTCAGAGCAACAAGAATAGTAAAATAGTATATGAAGTGCCTTTAAATTTTGCGATGATTATGATGGCTGCGGGTCAAAAGCCAGAGCGAATTCCTGGTAGGTTGACCTCCCTAGTACTGTAATAGTATCCATCCATTCTGTTCATTTTTTGTGGTCATCCAAGGTATCCTGGTTTTGACCCACAGCCATATGCTGACATGCTCCAAACCCTGGCAAACGACACGGCACTCACACAAGAAAGATACCCTTTAACAAGGTTCCAGAACATTGGAACACGATAGGGCCTATCCGATAGGGGACGACAGGGGGCTCACAAATCTGAGGATGCAGCTCATAATACCACTGAAAGGGGTGTACCCGATAATTATATGCCTTTCAGTGAGTGCAAACCTGAAGGACATCCAGTGCCAGACTTCCTTCTGCAAGCCTTTGAAGGAAGGCCTTCAGAGTGTCAGAAGGTCACACATACAGCCCTCAGTCACGCCTACGTGGAGCTGTGAGATGCTGAGGATTCTGTTGCGTTTCTCGCGTGGATCGAAGACAAGTTTCACACCTAAGGTGTGCTTGTCGACTGCATTTTTAGATCTTTTCAGTGCTTGCCTCACGGTAGCGCTGTTAAGTTGCCTGCTCGTGGCCTGTTTCGTCGCCAGCTTGCAGCCGAACAGGACTGACAAAATCCAGGAGCGACGCGCATAAACACCTTCTCTCACTGGCCTCTAAGTGATCTTCCAACAAGAACAACCCCGCCACCTCTCGTTGGCTGGTAGGATGAAACCGTAAAAGTACCAGCGATTTGGTCCATATATTTTCTATCTCAACTGTTAATCCCAACACCACCCATGTCTTTTTTCTCTTTCGACCTTCTATTTTCCATCCAACCATCACCCTTTAGGCCTTTGGGTGGCGGTGGTCCACTTTCTCGTCCCGGCTTCGACCCGGGTCTTCCCCAAGGTTGGGCGCAGCTGGAATGGAGTTTTGGGCCCAACGCACGAAGGCTACGCGGGGCATGGCGGTACGGCGACGCCCTGGGCCTGGGCCTGGGGTGGAAGAGACATGAACCAATCTCTGAGATCACCAGTCATGACTCATTTGATCATCCAGGGTAGGTGGTGGATTATGACTGTCAGGTAGGTTTGAGAAAATGATGTAAAGTGCAACACTGAGGACACCTGGGAATCTTGAACGCCGGGTGACCTCCGGCGTAATCTCATATCTTCGTTCATTCGTTCGTTATCATAATGCAGTCCAGGCAGGTTTTTGCATTCTTTTCGGCCTGGAGTGTCCCCAAATGCCACGGTGCAACACCGACGTGCATCGCGGAAGCCGACGGGGTGACGGGGGCACTGACAGGGGCATGGGTACGAACCGGTCGATCGGGGGGGGTGAAGGGATTCGAGATGCTTTGGAGCCTTCAAAGATCTTCAAAGTTCATTTGTTCGAGATGTTTTCAGGTCCCCTGCCTCCAATCATGGACTTGTCGTGACGAAAAGTTTCTCTCGAATTCCCTTGGTCTTCTCCAAAAGGAGGTCTTTCTAGTTGTTTCTGAAAAAAGCAGGGCCAAAGGAAAAACGGGGCTGTCTCCGAAGGAACGGAGATCGTCGGGCCCGTGGTGCGGAGCGACCTCCCTTCGCTTCAGTCTATCGCCTCGTTCTGGCGCCCCAGTCCATCGTCAGGCCCACAACTACTTCCTCTACTATGACAATGGCAAAAGTGCCGTGAAGATCCCGGCGCAAGGCGTGGCGTCTCGCCGCGTTCGGTTTCCCGCGTGACAAACACGCGTGACCGGTTCGGTTTTTTTTGGGGGGTGGAGATCCGACCCAGCGAACGGAACATGAACCCTTGGACTTCATAGAGACTTCAGACCCCTGCTAAGAGGTCGGGTCCGACCTCTGCCATGGAGGGCCTGTTTGGATTTTAACGAAGATCGTCCGTCCGGTGTGCAGCTCGGTCCGAGTCCGGCTCGACCGGTCGACAGTTCGACTGGCGGCGGACGGCGTCAAGGAAGCTTCGGGACAGTGCATGGTTGTAGGCGAACATGTCTTATGTGAACGTGTCTTGTTGAGAAGACGGGACCCCTTGGACAGATGGCGGTGACTGGCCAGGCTCTGAAGATATCGCACCCACCTCTGCGGGAGAGCCAAGTCCAAGCCAATAGTGTGGAGGATGGGGGTCAGTCTCTGCATTTTAATCTAGAAGAAGGAATTTGATTTAGACTCCATGGAGTTTCTGACAGACAAAAAACATGGATGATTCCAGGCCTCAGCCACGTTTCCACCAGCCTCCCAGCAGGCCCAGCAGCTGGAATTCCTGACTGCCACATGCTGAAAGACTTCCACCAACGATCGGAGGGTACGTCGGACGGTTCTTCTCTGAGGTTCATGTGCTTTACCCACCCAACAACTTCAAGGCGCGTGCATGCACCGTCAAGCGCGTCAAGAGCGCCAAGCAAAAAGGCCTCCAAGACCTTTGACGAGGTTGGATGATAGAAGGAACTGAATTGTGGGGAATTTGGTGGAAGAATGATTGCGTACCCACTTGGCAGCGAACAGGTGCATTAAAGTAATGTTGAATCGATACCAGTTTGCGCCAATCGCATCAAAACAGAACAGTGGTTCCCAAAGGTATCCAAACCATGGACACCAACTTTAGGTATAGGACCTAAGACATTGGGTGGATCCACCATTTCTGAAAAGAGAATGCAAGAGAGTCCACCTTCTTTTGCCCAATCACGAACCACACAAAAAGGAATCAACCTTTAGCTTCCCGCAGAGCCACGGGGGGGGCAAGGAGCTTCCGGCCAACACCATCCGAGCCGTCCTAATTCCCGCAGGAATTCATTGTGGGGAACATGGGTTGGACCACCTTCGCCGAGCACGAGTTGTTTGCTGGGGTCCTCAGATTGTGCACTTGCAACTTGGTTTTTATTCGGGAAGGTTGCCCAGCAAAATCCACCAAGTGAATCCAAGTGATTGGCTTCCCCCAACGCTAAGAGCCACCCTCTTGCCTTTGGGGCGCCCTACCCATCCAGCTTCTGTAGCCAAATCAATCGGTGGGTTCCAGTGACATCTTTCTGCCAGCCGCTCAGGAGGCAAGGAACTGTCATGATCAATTCTCCATCTGACTCCCCAGCCCTCGTTCAGTCGGAGCGCCTCGTTCAGGCCGTCCGCGTCCCAGTTCGCTGGTCGTGGGCGGACGGCCGTCCGCAGACCGGACGGGACTCGGCTCCATCTGATGCAGGAGATGAACCTCACCTGGATGAAAGCATGCCATGATGAGATAGTCGTTGGTGCCAAGGTGCGTGCATCTACCCGGGCCCGGGTGGGGGGTGGAAGGGCTGGTGAGCAGGTGGTTGCGGTGCAGCTGTGGAAATGAAATTGGAAGTAGAGAAGCAAAGGAAGTAGACGAACGAACGGGGTAGGGCAGCAGATGTCCGTTGTTTTCAAGTCTTTCTTCACCCGTCACCTTCAACGGACTGAAGGACATCCGGACCAGGCTGCTAGATCGAGGTCACCAGCTCTGGAGCTTCTGGGAGCTTCCAACCCCGTGGTCCCGGGAGGGCTCTCTCCTGCAGAGGAGTAGGTTAGGACGCGGTGTTTTGTTCTCCACGGACCTCCTTTGCATCGACCGTCGTTTCGCGGTTTCGCCCCGGTCGCCGTCGCTCGCCGGTTTCGTTGGGCGACCCATCTGATGTTCCCACGCCTCGACCGTGGCACGGGCTCTGTCGCCCTGTGAACGCAGCAGAATCGTCAAGCCTCACATCGGGCCGCTCCCAGAAGCTTTTCCCCCCTTCCGGTGGGTCTCATCTGAATCGATCGTCGCGAGCCTGCCAGGTGCTCCACTATCCGGCGACCCACTTCGAGCGCTTGTGGCGCAAGTTGGGGCCTTATTGAAGCGAAGAAGCAGGGTATCTCACCACTCACCAGCAGATGCGGTGTTTTTTTGGGTTTGTTTGCTTTGTTCTCCGTCTAATTTGGTATGCACCAGTCAGTGGAGAAGTGCAAAAGGTGGGTGGCAAACTCAAGATGAAAAGGCTATCAGGGTCCCTGATCACAAATAAGATCTACCTGGTGTTATGTATTTGTCACTATAATTAGCTGGACACGGATGGCTTGAACAGGTGTTGTTTTGTCATGTTTTGTCTCATGGTATGGTTGCCCCTCCTCTTCCCCGTGGTCTTCGACCCGCGCCAGGTACCATCACTTGGGCAACTTCCCTGCCGTGCGCTTCGGGGGCGAGCTGGTGGGCTGACCCACACAACCGAGAAAAACACACGACGACCAAGGGCAGGGCTGGGAGAAGAGGGCTCTTCTGTTGGGGCTGTTTTGTTCTTTGCTTTTTGACTGTGAGTGAGTGTTGTCATGGGTGTAGATACACAAACTTGACAACATACGGGTGCTGAGATCCACACGAGTGCAATATTCCACATCATTCACAAACATCATGGCATGAGAGAGCTTTAGCATGCTTTAGCTCTTGACCTGCGGCTCGAGGTGGTTCCCGCCTCCTTCCACTTGGAGGCAGGTCACCGGGAATTGCCAAGGAATGATCCTGACCATTCCTGACCAGAAAACATGTACAGCACAGACGTAGAGGAGTCGGGTTTCACACCCTTTTTGCAAGGTTTTGGTCTTTGTTGTTCGGCTATGTTCGTGCCCTGGCTCGAAAAGCGGCTAGTTTGTGATGATGATGTGCTCGATGCCAAAAGGGCTTCGCAGGAGCTGCTCAAGAATCCTCCATCGACTTGTTTAGATCCATTTCTACTTCCAGGTGCTTCCCTTCAAGCATATTTTCTGCACCCGCTCATCTATAACTTCACCTCCAAACTAGAAAATCAACCAACCCGCTGTAGACCTCCAAAGTCCAAGTCTACCCCCCCGCACCGGTCCACGTTCCAACTTCACCCGCGGGCGCATATGGATGCGCCCCAAGCTGCCGCGCGACTGCGCCGCGCGCCGCGGCTCGGTCTCCGTGGAGCTGTCGCCGATGCACGCGGCGCCGCTGACGCCGTCGCTGTCGGCGTCGATCTCGGCGCCGGGGCTGCTGAACGAGTCGACCTCGGTGCGGATCGAAGCACTGACGCGGAGGAGGGCCATTTGGTGGTGCCCTAGATGGCATGGATGGCAGATGGGAGAGCTTTGATCCTAGAGCTGGTGTAGAGAGATGGAAGCGTGAGCCTTGAAGGTGAAGCAGTTGATCGGTGCGGAAATCAACAGCGTTGATACCTCCAATGGGCCAAGCGAAGTACACGGTGTGTTCGCTGTACCCCTCGTGCTTTGTGTGTTTGTTTCTTTCCTGGATGCAGGCTATATACATCAGGCTACCATTAAGCTTTATTGAGATTATTAAGCTTGTTGATGCCTAGCCAGCAGCTAGGACATGGATTGGGAGCTGGGTATCTCACACAGGCTCCAATTGTGAATCCCAAAGGAAAGAGCTGTCACATGGAAACTTATTCAAGACCACACGAGTCCTTTCATTCCATTTGCATTTTGGTTTCCATTGGTTTCCCATATTTGCTCCGAGCATGCCTTTGATGCTGGCAGCTGACATACAGGCTTTCAAACATCACTGAAGGGTCCTTTTTCAGCTTCAGAAGGGTCCTAGCTCCGCAGCCTGAAAAAGAGTTCGATCCGCCGCCTTTTCTCCACTCCTTTTCCATCCGAGGTTCTTGGAGAGTTCGAGCATCGCGCCGCCCTGGCTGCAGTGGATGTCACTCCTCTACGCTCTCTTCACCTCGGCCTTGATCGTGGTCTTGCCGCCTGGCCGAGCGTCGCGCGATGGAAGGTCAGCAGCGACGGGGAGCGAGCGAGCGAGCGATTTGACTGTGATGGAAGAGGATCGAATTCATCTGTTGAAACTGGGGACGTTGGATATCGTTTGATGCTTCATCATGCTTCATCATGCTTCATCTCATGATGAAGGCCACCCCTTCAGACCCTTCACACCTTCTCCCTGGATTTTCGCTCGTCCGACGCGTGTCACCGGGGGAGCGAAACCTGGACCGAGTCACCCGAGGAGCGAAACCGGGTCCTGAGAGTCGAACTGGGGGGGGGGAAGGTGTGTGGAGCGGCCAACAGGGGGGGCTTGAGGGTTTCGGTGCGTCGGTGCGTCTTGGGGGTTCTTGCTTGGGGCTTTCTACACCAATCAGCTGGTGATCAGTGAGGTTTATTGTGGACAGCCGCACCATGAGCCAGCAAACGACGAACTTCTACCACACCATGGAGGTGTGCGCCACGATTGTCTTCACCGTCGAATATGTCTTGTGCCTCGGAGAGAACTTTGAAGCCTGAGCTACGACCCAAATGCATCAAAATGGATCAACATGGAAGTGATTACCAATGGTTTAGTGCATCCTCCAGCATCAGGGATTTTCTACCATTCGCTGTGGCTCAGCGCATTTGCCCCATTCGCTTGGCACCTGCACCCAGGCGCCTCTATAGCTGTGTGGAGTCCGAGCCAGAAGTCGAGTACATGTCGCCCGTGGCGCGCTGTAGGACCCGGATCTGGTTGATGTGCTCGATGGCCTCGGTGATCGATGCGATCTCGCTGATCTCGCTGTATCTGGACGTGTGCATCACCTCCAACGTCTTCAGGCCGAACGTGGCCCTTTTCCTTTGCGTCGCCCGAAACGGATTGGGGAAACGGATTTGGGGTGGAGAGCCGAGGCGTGGGTTTTGGGGTGACATCGTGGGTGACGTCAAAGGTGACGCGAGCCAGTGGGTGTTGTACGCGGATTTCTTCACACTTGGAGCACAGCAGCTAACCACCATGAAGACCACAGCACCAAACAGCAAACTTGCAGACCGCAGCAATGAAGAGGAAGCAGGGAGCAGAAGGAGCAAAGGAGGAGCAGAGAAAGAAGAAGGCGGCACAGCAACCAACCATCACACAATTTGAACAGGCGTCGACCCCGACCCCCTGGTGTGCCTGTTTCGGAGTAGAAACTCCGTAATAGATGGCAATCCTTTTCACTTTGGGTACAGCAATACATGGCAATCCATGGCAATCCTTTTCGCTCCTCCCGTACAGAATGCTTCTGCCTTTCCTTCTCTCGCCCTTGAGGGGTGTGGTCTCCCTGCGGCTCTTGCGGCTCTTCACGCTCTTCCGCCTCGAGCGAAAGCATAAGTTCTTCTCGCCCATCCTGCTGGTGGTCTCGAACAAGCGCACCGAGCTCGGCGCCACGCTGGGCATCGCCGGGTTGCTGCTGTTGATCTCCTCCACCTTGATGTACTATGTGGAGTCAGGTGGGAGTCGACGGTTGTGGGATTTTCCGTTGGCATGTGACCTGGTACTCGGGCGCTGACTGATCTGGTGTTTCTCCCGCTGCGGCGTTCGCCTGTCGCCTTGAAGAATATCATCTCGTTCACGCGGCCGCGTGTGCGGTCGGCCGCGTGCGCTAGGTGTGAACGAGAAGTTCGAGAGCATCCTGTCCTCCATGTGGTGGGGCACTGAGACCTTAACCACCGCGGCTTGGCGTTGGTTGTAAGCGGTTTTTGTGTGTGCGTGCTGTGTCCGTTTGGGGGCACTAACACGTACAAAAGTTTATACCTGGACACCCCTTGGAATGGAGATCTCTCAGTAGTGTGTGGGCTTCCATTGGTGACCCCTTGGAAGGTGGGCTACGGCGACATCGTTCCCATCACCCCCGCGGGCCGCGCGCTGGGCTCGGTGGTGGCCTTCGCCGGGGTGGGGCTCTTCGGATTGCCCGCAGGCAGCGTGGCGATTGGAAAAGCTTAGGGGTGTAGGCGGAGTGGAGGGGTCTACTATAGGGTAATAGGATGTAATAGGTATTTGTAGGATTTGGTAGGTGTCGCAAGATGTCACAAGTCATTTTGGGTGTCCAGTGTCTGAAGCAGCTCGGGATTGCAGAGGATGAATTCTAGGAAGATCCAGATGCGCCTAGGGGATTGCAGATCAAGTGACCAACAGCAGATGCGTGTCGGCCTTCAGCCTGACCGCGCGTGTCTGACTCTCCCCTCCAGTGACGCAGGTATCATCTCCTCTGGTTTCGCAGAGGTCTTTGGCTCTTCGGCCTTGAAAGGCAACGACCCTTGGAGGGCAACGACCGGGTGAAACACTGCGAGTCCCGTCCCTGTTTCGGCGGTCGCGGCGGCTGCTCGGGTCGCGGCTGTCTACGGTTCTGTCGTGAAACGAAGCACTCGGTCCGCCGCGGAGGGGCGAAGGCGAAGTGGACATGAACAAGTGACAAGAGAATGCGCCGTTTTGGAAGACGGGGATTGTTGCCGAGCCAGGACATGCTGAGGGGCTTCCAAGTGGTTGCTGTTGAAGACAGTAGCTCGAGCAAATGAGATTCCATGTAGAACCTGCTGAGACTCCATCACATGCCCGAACTGGTCTTGTTTGGGAGGTCTCCCCCGCCAACATCTGCCCGACGTCCGACGTCCCAGTTCGCTGTCTGACTTCACCCGGTGAAACCGAGCACGTCCGAGGAGTCAAAGTTTCAGCAGTTGGAGGCGGATCTGGGGCGCCTGGTGATGCTGCAGAAGGAGGTGCCCCCCCACCGCATCCGCGTCCGCAGCAGAAGCGTCCAGAGAAGCGGAGAGAGTTGGGTTGGGGAGGAGAGTTGTCAGCAGATCAGCTCGGGTGGGGAGGCGAGTTTTGCCGGATGCGGTGAAAGGACGTCTGGGTGGACGATGTACTGCATAGTTCGAAGGTGAAAGGCCTGTAGCATGTTCAGACCAATCGTTTAGCGCATGTTCAGACCAAAAAAAATGGACCAGGGCGATATGAAGCATTGCTATGCGCAGATGCGCCGTCCATTCGTAGGGACACCCGTTGCTTTCTCATGCCGCCCACACCGCCACTCGACCGGGTCTCCCGCTCCGGCGGTCGACCGGTCGACCGATCCCGGCAGGTCTTGACGGAGCTTCAGGGGCTGAAGACTCAGGTGGCAGCTCTGCAAGATCAACAGAGGCGTGGGATGGTGTGGCATGGGTGGGTTAGAGGGTGGGTTAGAGGATGGGTTAGAGGGTGGGAGGTGAGGGATCAACATTTGGTGGTCTTCGTTTCTTCTTCTTTCATTTTCTCTTGTGCCCGTTGTCATCTCTCCACTACCACCTTCCTGGCAGGCTGTACTTAGACTGCTCCTGCCTCACTGCTATTAATTTTTGACACCTTGTCATTAAAAGAGACACATCGAGAAGCTAAAGATGTATCGCTCTTGCTCTGCCTGTCTCTTTATATTCTAAGTGCATTGGTGCAAATTCTAAGTGCATCGAAGCTCCGAATTACTTTTTCATATTCTAACTACATTCCCAATTCCTTAAGTTGAATTCTAAGTGATAGTCCCGGATAGTATATAAATCTTTCAACTTTTTGTTGGAATGTGGGTGGACGCCCCACACTTCTTCAAAGCATCTGGCCACCTTGGGTCCCTTTTACGGTTCCTACACCCGCACATCATCGGTCTCTCCGATCCCCCCTCTCGCGCCCTGGAGCGCCGCGCGAGGCGGTCATCCAAATGAGCCACGGATCCATCGAGTCGCGGGGAGTGGGTTGCGCCATGGCGCCATGTACCGCGTGGGCCGCTGAAAGACTGGCAACGTGGCGTGGGCCGAGGATTTGGATGCTTGAGTTTCAATATAGGTCTTCTGGTCCTTGAGAAGCAGAAGCAATGGATGGACATTGAGTTTCAATGGGTTCGATCAAGAACGAGCAATGCTGAGCAGCCACAACTTATGAGCGCTTGCAGCACTAACTCCATGTATATCTTTCTCTCAGCTAGCTGTGCTTCCGCTTCTCAGACGGAGAAGAAGCTGTGGCGACTGTGCAGCACACATCGTTGTGCCAGGCACATCCTTTCTTCTAGGATCAGCTTGCCGAATTCCAGCAGGGCGGGGCCAAAGAGATCCAGCAGTTCGGTTTCATGCAAGCAAAGTCCTACAGGTTGGAGCACCGGGTGGAACTTCATGAGAGTATTTGGACTTGTAGCAACACACAAAACCTGAAAGAAAACAGCTGATCTCGGTTGTCGCATATGTTCTCAGTTCTGTCGGATCTCCTCCCTTCCCTAACAGGGTGGCAAAGACTGTCGGCCGAAACCGCCTTGCCAAAGACTGCAGGTGGCCCAGACCAAAAGGACTCCTTCCCAGGGGGTCGACCGGATCCGGTGGATGATTGGCATCGTGTTGGATGCGATGTCGGATAGACTCCAAAGTCGAGTCGGATGGAAGTCGATCGGTGCTTCCTGTCGAAAGAAAGAGCTTGCGATTCTCTTCAGTGCCAACTTGCCACTGCTTCGTGCGAGTTCTACAGTGGTCTTTACTGCCAGCGAGCCTGGAACAGCTGGAGCTGCTCCTTCTGCCAGCCAGGCCCGGGACGAATACTTGAAGTATTCGGACAAGACCACGCAACAAGAGAAGCTCAAGGACCTAACTGTGAGCTGTTCCTTGGTCACTGTTCATTGGCCCCCTATCCTTGGTCGCTTCAGCCAGGTTCCTTACCTCTTCGTTGCTACGAAAGGTACCTGGTCACGCCGGGCACAACAGCTCAATATGGGGGGTTCCTCGAGAAGTGGGATGCTTTGATGACCTCTCGCACTTCTCAGCATCTACAATATGGCTGTGGCAGTGAGTCAAAACACCACCAAACCATGGGTGATTGACATCCCATAGTCAAGGGATCGAACTCATTTTAAGGAGTCAATCGTGGTGTCCTGGTCTGGTTTGCCAATAAGCCAACTCGTTGGTCCATCGATCGGGCCAACAGCCAACGACATACCAACAGGGTGCAACAACAAACCAAATTGAACTGCCAGGATCGATTCATGATGTGTGGCCAGGTGATGGGAGTCCCGCCCTAGGCCCCCACAACACCACATTCTCGATCGATCACCCCGATTAAAGGTTGCTCGATTTCTCCTTTGGATTTGTTTGGGCACTGCAGCGCCACAAGCGCATAGTCGTCCAGCGGAGGCATGGATCATCATGGGTTTTACATATAGTATACTGTATACTCCCTGGGAGTCAAAGACTATAAAAAGAATGGTCTTTAGGGGACCTGAAAGGGAACTTCCTTTACTTCAGCCGGTCAAAATATAGTCTTTGGACTTCTAGGGTACTTATATAATTGAATGTATATAAATGTAGTCTAAAAGTCTATCCTGGATCCCCCAAAAGAACCTTTCCATCCTTCATCATCCTTCCTTTTCCCACGCCGTCCAGGACGCAAAGGCTTTGGACCCCACGCCGCCGGTACGTTCGACTCCGCCGGACCCCCCGGAGGAGCTGCTGGAGCGCGCGGCCTTCCTGAGCGACGAGGAGGTGCAGTCGCAGCTGGAGACCGGCTCGGCTCGGGGCGCCCGGTGGAGCGGGTCGCTCGGTCAGAGCCCGGTGGGTGACGGGTGAGCCACCGGTGAGCTGGGGGTGCGTTGAAGCCATGCGTTTGTTCGGATTGTCACGAGGTGATGATGGTTTTGTGTTCATGTAGGCCAGGGGTCCGGTCAAACAAACAGAAACGAAGGCAACCCAAGGGCTGCAGACAGATGTGATCGTTCTCAGCATCGGTCGCCCGATGGTCGCCACCACCGGAGTAGCGGTCGCCACCCCCGGTGTCGCCGAGGTGGTCTCCATCGACACGGTACGGGAGTCGCTGCGGCAGGGCGTTTGGATTCCGCCCAGGCGGGTCCATGGGTGTCCGGTGAAGACGACGGCGGAAGGAATGGAGTGAACGAGGGAGTGAAGGAGCGAAGGAGGAGTGGAGTGGAGTGGAGCGCCCGATTCTGAGCGCCCGAGTCGCTTCACAACCCTTTTTCAGGTTTCGGGACTTGGGTAGGGGAGCCGTGGCACCCGACGAAGGTCAAAGGTTTCCGGCCAAGTCCACTAAGTCCTCAACAGCGGCTGAAAGAAGTGGAGCGGCCATGGCTCGCCACTAATCCATCCATCCCCCATTCCACGGTTATTTCAGACCAAAACGGCGCTGGCCTCCAAAAGGTTTTTCGAGTCCAAAACGATGCCGGACTCCCAAAGCCAGGCAGCTGCGCCCGAGCCTCTTCAGCTTACTCCAGCGGCGGCCCAGCAAAGAGGCGCGTTGGGTCATCGGATGGAGTTGCAATATATATATATATATATACATGACTTCATATGATTTTCATAGGCATGTAACATGTTTTCAGGTTCGATGCTTTCGTTGATCTAGGAGACGTGGTGTGGCATGTTCGACCGCTCAAAGGCGAAACGGTTCTCCTGCGACCTCTCTCGCGGCTGCGGAACCTGGGTTTCTGACAGGCCATGGAGCGGATGCAGCGGATGAGGCGGATGCCCGCTGAGGCGTCTCGAATTTTGGGAGTTGAGAGTCTGGGATGTGGAGTTTTCGTGTGGGATGAAGATGGATGAATCATGATGAATCCGATGTGCATGGGATGGGTATACCGGTTTCTTGACCCGAGATGGGGAGACCCGAAGTTGCCACCGTGGCACCGGTGGCTCGGTGTGAAGAACACCGTTGCGACCCGCGGATCGGTTCGGATCGGTCGACACCGTGGAGAGACACCTGGGGAGGCAACGGCGGAAACCAGCCTTCGGGGATGAAGCATGTTTAGAAGATGGTTTGACCACCTGCCGCCAAAAAAACCGGGACTTGCCTCGGATTTCTCCTTGCTGCGCCAGGTGCTGTTTGAGGCTGTTGGGCTGCTGAAGATGGAGAGTCTGGATCAAGGCTTGCAAAAAGTGGTAGAACAACTGGAGACCAGAGGATGGGCCGCCTGCCACCTGGGGCTCCATGGATGCTTGGACGCGAGATACGGCGAGATTGGGTTGACTTGACGTGTTTTTGGTTTGGTTTGGTTTGTTGGGTTGTTTGATTGATTGATTGATTGATTGACTGACTGACTGACTGACTGACTGATTGATTGATTTTGTTTGTTTTCTTTGGTCTTCGGACAGGGACGCCGCGCTTGTTTGGGGTTCAATTGAGATGCCACGTGCGCTCACTTTCCTAGCAAATGACCGAAAGGGTGGGGAAGATAGTCTGAATTTGTCATTGAAGGCTATTGAGGATTGAAAAGAAGACACTGGTGCTGGGCTAGCACCCATTCAATTTGATCAACACACTTGGGGCCTGTAGCTCAATGACACAATATCTGGGAAGGCCTTGCTTTGTATAGAGTACACTGATGTTCCTCTGACTGGCCTTGTGTGCGATTGTCACCTGTTTCTAGTGTACTGGGTGGGCAGTACGTGTTTTTTGCCCTATACCATGCCTCCAACTAAGCAACCATTTACTGTGAGGGTGTGACAGTGTTCTAGGAGTTGATATTGGTTCGTCGGACACCATGGGCATCAGGAAGGTCACATGTTCAGTTGGTTTGTTGGTCGAGGCTCCGGTTTTCTTCCGCTTTGGAAAGCCGGCTGCATTGACCCTCCATCGGTGCCCCCTAAACAAACACCTGGACAAATACCAACAGAGGTTTTTCAGAACCCTAGTTCGACCATCCCACGAGGTAGAGGTTTTTCAGAACCCTAGTTCCACTATCCCGCAAGGTGCCCCAA